TGCCATGAAACACTTTCAGGTTAAACTTAATTGTGCAGCTTGCACTGATTTTCGCAACGTTGGGGCACAGTAGAGCTCGTCGTCATTCGACCGTTTCACGTGATCACGTTGTAAATTACCAGTATTGGTTAGGTGTCGACCGGGTTTCATTGGGCATTGCTTGTAAATAGCAGTACCGAGTAGCTAAAAGAATAGAAGAGTATTTTTATGTTCTTTTTTTCATTATGTAATTTTTCTCGGTTTTTCTATTCCCTGTTTAATTTCTTGCCTTCCTCTCTGTCTCTATACATCTCGCTTACTCTTTCTTTTAAGATCTTTCTCTACACTTCTTTCTTTCTTCTTCATTTCTTTCTATGTATTCTTTTCCTTTCTCTTTCAGTTATGATCTTTTCCCCACTCTTTTTGTATGTTCTTTTCTATCTATTCCTCTCTTTGTAAATGTCATTGTCTGTATATCTAATCATGTATATCTACTTTCTCAGTTGCTACTCCTCTTCTTGCACGTCCGAGTTATTCTTTTCCACGCCGGACAAATCAGCGCAGTGGTAGAGGGTGCGCCCGCCACTAGTCTTCGGGTAACGAAGCAGAACATGAAGAAGATGACAAACAGAGTGAGTGCTGGTATGATGATGAATGTTTTTTATCTACGTCGCGAAACGGACTAACAGAGGGCGTAAAAGCTCTGCTGTAAAATTATTGCGATCTCTAACGTACAATAGAAGAGGCTGTGTTTAGAGCGCTTAAATACAGAGCGAACGGACGCATGGTACGATTAGTTTATTTACCATTATCGTGCTCCCCTACCCTCATTATTATAGTGCATAGCTTACAACGACTTAGTTAGGCTGGTTATTGAATACTCTGAAATTGTACGCGGACTTTAGACACTTGAACTGCAATATACTGGTGAGGGTACAATGACTTGGTGCTGGGTTCATCTAAACTAAATATCATCGGCAATGTCCTCCTACTAAACTTTCGGTAGGAAAGCTGACGAGTCTATAAATTTTGGTACATTGAACAAATATTAAGATCGTCTGACCTGGCGCTCTTCGGCCATCAATTGGTCCTTGCGTCATAAAACAACACGCATGATCAACGAATATTAAGACACTTGAATTGTTTTTCAATTATTCCACAATCAGATGAAGCTCACTCATGCACATTTTTTTGTCCATACCAGCACAAAATAAAATTCCAGACATCACCATAGCATATAGAGGTCGGTCCACTGTTAGAGGGAACAAGTGATTGCGTGGCTCGCGCTGCGCACAGCAAGCAGCGAGGACCACGCGCATGCGCGGAACGACGCTGACGGTGGCACATGCCGTGCCGGTGAAGGCTTGGGCTAGTTGGTTCATGGTTGCAACAGGGAAAGAAACACCAAGAAACATTTAACCAAAACACAAGACCAAAAAAAAAGTATGACAACTGCGCTGTTTCTTCTCTTATAGCTGTTGTCTGCCCATCTTCGTCTACGGTTATTTCAAACATTTTTTGCCTTTCCATTGAAAAATGAGGGCTCTGTAGCAAGTTAACTGAGATGGGAAAGGCTGCAAGGCCGTCAGTTCGAATGTCTTTTAGTGTGGCTGAGAAACAGCTGCCGCCAACCACGTCCACAGACTAACCCCCGTATTCACAAACAATCCTCGACTCGACTTTCACCCTTCACTTGACAGAGTTGAGCACTGCGCCGCTGCTCGGCTGAAACTTGCGCTGCACTGATCGAGAATCGCACCACATTATCGCTGATATGCAGTGACCTGCCGTACCTAGATAGGGCGCTTCCATCGGCTTTCTCAAGTGGAGGTGAAGCGTTGAGTGAAGGGACGTTCTACAATACGGGGGAAAGGCAGTCCGCGCAGCCGCCGCGCCGAGTTTGCCACGAGGGGCGCGAGTAGTGTACGACCAACGAAATGTCCGCATCAGTGCCCAAGATAGGGCTCAACATTAGCCAAGAAGGCCGCGTTAAGCCCCTAAGATCGACCAGCTCTGCTGTTTCTTGAGCTTCAGACGGCTAATGTAAACTTCTTTCTTTTTTGTTTTTCTTAGTAATTAGCGTGAAACAGAGGCTCGATATGTTTGTTAGATTTGCATATTATGTGCGTGTGCTCTGCTTCATAGTGCACCACTTCGTGTGTAGTTTTTGTTATAGAGAACCTTAGTATGCGTGGACGCGAGGCGGGCCTCTATAGCACTCATTTGAGAGTGTTCTCCTCTTTTCCGCTTCATGAAACGAACACTCGGAAGTCATAGTGAAAGAAAAAATCACCTCATCGCTTAACTAAACAATGAAGCGCCTCTTCTGTCATAGCATACATACGTAATATAGTTTTCTTTTAACTATTTCGAGTGTCTCGTGCCTACAATATTATTGAGAGCATATTACAGGCTTTCAATACGAATACGTGACGTACTTTCGGCTAGATAATTAATGTGGCAGCTACTGAAGTTGAAACTTGGATAGCACGAAGCTCTAGCAGTTATGGATGTAAAAGCCATAGGTTAATTTTGATACAATACAATGCTTTTTCATTGGTAAGTGAGGCACTCTGCACATTCGCGCAATTAATTACCATTTTTCTGAGTACTTCTGCACATTTCTCAGTCTGTGAGTGTGCGTTCGTAGAGCGAGTGTCTCACCGTTGTTTTCACTTATTAGATGCGTTACTTGAGTCGCATGCATGTCGGTATGCGGGCAGGCTAGCCTTTTTAGCGTATAATGTAGCAATCGTCTATGTTGAGTGATTTTGGCCAGATGTTACCATACCATGTCGAGATGGCTAAAACTATTCGTTTGAATATTTGTGTTTAGAATTTATGTAGTTAGTAATTTGTCAGTTAGTTAGTTAGTTAGTTAGTTAGTTAGTTAGTTAGGAGGTTAGATAAATGTTTCAGTGCAACACCCGAGCTTAGAACGCGCACAATTGCGATGGGTACGAGGGTTTGTGAACTCAGTGCACCCACGTGAACGCCTTTACCGCAACTGGGAGTTGAAGTTGCGGCGTTTTGTTCAGCGACAAAGTCTATGTAGACGAAGTCTAGGTATATATATACATAGACTTCGCTTATACATAGATGAAGTCTATGTGTAGTAACAGAGTAAACACAGGGGAGGGGGGTGGGGAGGTGCGTCGTACATTGTCGTTGATTACGTGTATATTAGCAACCATTTTCAATGTTCCTTGTTTCTGGCCGAGGAGCAACGTTGAAGGAATATAAACAATTCGGATATGGTAGAGCAACCAGATATCAATAAAACAATGTTGGCTGAGCTTTAACATTTAAAAACCATGTTATCACCAGCGAAATGTATGTTTAGCTTGGTTTTGCAAAAACTACGCTCACAGGCGTCGGCTGCTATTCGATCTAAATAACGATTGTATAAGTTTTCTTTTTCTTTCGAAGCTCTTTCAAGCACTAGCGCGGCTCCGCAATGAACTGCTGAGTGCGACGCAGCAGATCACTTTGTTACGTGCATCCATCCGATTTCTCACTCACAGCCACCTACGCCAATGCAGACTCCAGAATCTCTGCGACACGAGTTCTTTGACGCCATCACGTTCGGAGAACCTTTGCAATACGAATCTTGGATTGTTTTAGGACAAAAGGAGAGGGTCCTCCCTCAGTTTTCGTAGACGCTTTATACGCGCGTTTTTTTAAACGGTGTACTCTATGATTGGCAGGTGTGCCCAGAGCGTCCATGATCTAATAGCTCGGCCTTGGATTGTGAAAGCCATCGTGACAAGGGCGCGTGCCGCCGTGGATTGATTGATATGTGGGGTTTAACGTCCCAAAACCACCACACGATTATGAGAGACTCCGTAGTGGAGGGCTCCGGAAATTTCGGCCACCTGGGGTTCTTTAACGTGCACCAAAATCTGAGCACACGGGCCTACAACATTTCCGCCTCCATCGGAAATGCAGCCGCCGCAGCCGGGATTCGAACCCGCGACCTGCGGGTCAGCAGCCGAGTACCTTAGCCACTAGACCACCGCGGCGGGGCATCCGCCGTGGAAGCCACAGGAGTCCCTGGCACTCCTCCGAGAGTTTTGTACAGCGGCCGGCCCTCAAGACCGCCCCGGTACAAACTCTAGGAGGAGTAGACCCTGGGGCTTCTCATAGTCTACGGAAATGTTTTCCACCATCACCACAAAATAGTACATTATTAAGAGCACGCCCATGCCCTTAGAGCGTCGAGTGTCTTGTGGCTAAGGTACTCGGCTGCTGATCCGCAGGTCGCGGGATTGAATCGCGGCTGCGGCGACTGCATTTCCGATGGAGGCGGAAATGCTGTAGACCCGTGTGGTTAGATTTGGGAGCACGATAAAGAACTCCAGGTGGTTAAAGTTTCCGGAACCTTTCACTACGGCATCTCTCATAATCATATGGTGGTTTTGGGAACGTCAAACCCCACATATCCATCCATCCATCCATCCATCCATCCATCCATCCATCCATCCATCCATCCATCCATCCATCCATCCATCCATCCATCCATCCATCAATCCATCAATCCATCCATCCATCCATCAATCAATCAATCAATCAATCAATCAATCAATCAATCAATCAATCAATCAATCAATCAATCAATCAATCAATCAATCAATCAATCAATCAATCAATCAATCAATCAATCAATCAATCAATCAATCAACCAATCAATCAATCAATCAATCAATCAATCAATCAATCAATCAATCAATCAATCAATCAATCAATACCTTAAGAGCATGTGCCAACCATGCCCCAGAACATGCGCCGTTTGTTTTGAAACGTGACATCTCACGACTTCGGTCGTCGTTTTGGGATTAGCACATATTCCATGTGAGGAGAGAATGCATTTTGTGTGACTGCATGTAGAGAAAGAGAGATATGTCAAATACAGAAAGCAAAGAATTTTGCGAGCATTTTTGGCTAATGACAACGCATTACATGCTGCTCATTGTGTTCACTGTGCAGGTGTTTGACGTTCGTTCAATGACTTAGACAAAAGATTGTTGAGCTCCACGTACTGTACAACTTTATTTCTTCGAAAGCTCGTTATTGTCACCCAAGCAGTAAATATGGAGAAGCTGCTTGTTCGTAAGTCGAGTGAGCAGGAAAAAAACGACACTGAAGAAAAAGAAGTGGCTTATGTGAAAACAAGAGTTTTCTGTATTTAATGTAAGTTAATTTTTATATGACAGCATTGTCAAAGTGAGAATAAATGAGAAAGTTTCGTCGCAAGACAATTCAACTTCAGTGTGTGCTATCAACAGCAAATGTTTGCGTGACGTTGAATCCACAAGAAATGCAAATTTCTGCTATATCAGTGCTTAATGATTGTAATGAAACTGGTCGGCTGTATAGGTCGGAATGCTAAGTGCAGTATGGAACACTTATTTATAAATTACACTGCACAGACAAAGCGGCAATTTAGCTTTATCAAAAATTTCGCGCCCCGCAAATTTTTTGCTGTTGATAGTACAAAAACACAAAAGCACGTAATATATTTATACCTGTGTGAGTGAACAAAAACTAAACACCGGCTGCCTCAGTAAGAAGCGTTATTTTTTTTGTCGTTCAACAATAATAAAAAGTTGTGTCTGCAACTAAACACAAGCGCATTGGCTTCAAATTCGGCATTGTATACAAGGTTCATGCTATCTAGCTCCATAGAGCCGGCTGATAAGTCGGTTCTTTGGGACCACGTTTAAAAGCATATTGCACCATAGTATCAGTGATGCACGATGTAGATGTCTACAGCTGCCTGCAATGACGCCATTCGGCTGCATGTACAAGCGGCGGCTCGCTGAAGCTAAAATGCATTGTACGTCTGTCGTACTACAGAAATTCTATGTGGCCTTTTGCTAGTGCGTTTTAAGTACCACCGCGTTCCAGCATCCCGTTTAAAATTGAGCCTCTTAAAGACAAGGACCTGAGAAAATCAAGCCTTCTCAGAATAACAAAGAAAACTGCTTGCGCGATGTCTCGTAACCAAAATAGCGCAATCAACTCGTGTGACTTCTGTATAACTATACAGGAAACAAGAACCTGAACCCATCAGAGCAGTTTTATAGCGAAGCTTCTGCGACCTCTTTCTGAGCAGGTACAGTCTTTGTCAGAAGTTAGGGAGTCTCTCTGCGACTGAGATATTCCACTGGTCTCTGCAGCTGAGATTCTATGGAAAGCCTGGCGATGCGAAGTTCGGAGAAGACAGTATACTTTCAGCTCTTTGAAACAATTACAGTTTCAGGAGGTATGTGCATGGGCATGCTCAGGCTGGCCAAGGACACCGTTTAATCTTTCGACAAAGACTGTCAGAGCTTTGAGAGCGCAAAAATTCATTCTTACCCTCTTTCATAAAAACAAAAGCACACGGTCACACGCAAGAAAGTCGAAAGCTGCTGCCGTACGATGTTCGTACTATCGATTTTGACCCGTACGCCTACAAATGGTAGGTCTTATGCCTATTGATTATTATGGCTATGTACTGCGTTTTTCGAGATCGGATAGCAGGAGACAAGAGATGTTGATTACAGCATATTTGGAGCCAAAACTGTGCGACCTTGCTGCGTCATAATCTTCAAAGTTCGTTGAATGCAGCGTAATAGCGATAATGTTGCAATATTTTTTTTGTTCGACGGTACAGCCTCCTGCAGATAAATTCTCATAAAGCGTGCAAATATTACGTGTAATCTCCGATTACTAACATCTAATATAAAATAAATTGGGCTGCTTTGGTTAATCTCTCTAGCTTTTGATAACATCGCCGTATTATAAAGATATGATAATAGATAAACGCATGTATATTAAACGAACCATTTAGTTCGGACTTCTTTTTAAGTGCGTGTGATATCCGCGATTTTTTTTTTATCCTTTAGCTCGAAACTAAGGCAGCTACAGCAGCAGCTCTCGAGTTTACACACTCCAGCATAACTAGCTAAACAGCGGTGCAGTTCTACCAAAGCGTTTGCCATTTCACAAAAAAACAAACAAAAACAACTACTCAGTTACAACATGCTTTGTTCTTTTCCTTTGAGTCGGCATCAGTTGGCACGTCGTTTACACTTGTTTACACTGCAGAGGAAGGGAGTGAGAAAGAATATTTGAGGAGTTGTAGAAGGAGGAGGAGTCGGCTGTGTAGGCGGCACAGGTGTACCATGCATGTTACTCGAGCAGACCGACCGTACTTGTCGTCCTCTTCATTTTTTGTTCGGCGCAGGAGCTTGTTGCTTTTCACAACTCGGTTGGTTGCAGAGTCCTCCCGCGGCGACACTTGTTGAGATGCGAGGAGCACCGAAGGTACCGTTGTCAACATGCACTGAGCGTCCATCAGTTCTTTCGCAAAGAGGTCGCACGTTTAACGGTGATAGTTCCGGTCATTTTCTGAATTTGGTTTTTTTTTGTCTTCCTCATTTTGAGCTCGAGCCAAGCTGATGGCGGGTACGAATGAACAGAAAGAAGCGACTGTTCCTTGCGACGCGTTACATCGTTCAGTTTTTTTCTTTTTGTTCACATTGGCTACGCGCAGCGTCTGGAAGCAATACACGCGTGGTTCTTGATTGCAGGCGGTCGCCGTTGAAAGCGGTGATCAGACGTCATGGGCGCGAAGCAGCAAGGCGCAAACTGCGACCAGGAGGACAACTGCGGAAAACGTGGCACGACTTTGCAGGGCCGAGTTGTGACCTGAAGATGGTCGCGCGCTGTCTTTGTCCGCTGTAGGAAGAGAGAAAAAACAAACAAAAAACAAGTCGTAAAGTTGCTGACATCAAAAGATCACGCACATCTTCTATCTACGTGATCGTAACAATCAATGCGATGTTGTAGCATTAGGAAAAAAAAAGTAACTGAGAAACCGTCATGAGAATTATTATCGCTATGATATTTGCACCCACTCAACCAAGCATAAAATATTTTGTTTTTTTTTGTTTTCTTTATATTGTAACAACCAAGTGGAAAGGGTAGCCGTTCCCAAGTAATGATGACAACCATTCATTCATTTATTATTTCAATAAAAAAATTAAGAAAATCATGAATCGAAATACCCTGCGCTAGCAAGATCAAGTATATTTTGTACTGGAACCAGCATGATAGGGTCTTGTTCCACAGTCGTCCACGTAGGAGGAGGTTGAGTAAGGTGTATCCCTATTGACACATCATTATTACTGAAATAGCAGGGTACTAATGAAATGCTAAGGCGTCAAGTATCTCTATACTATTCATTGACGTTTTATTCTTAAATGAGGCGTCGTTGCAGAGTTCAAGGTTTCATCTTCTCAAATGGTACTTTTTGTTCATGTATGGGATTGCCGTTAATGGTTGTGCGGCACCATCACTATGCTATGTGCTAGAGACGCTTACACTTCGATATTACAAGCGCTCGAAACTCCTGTAGTTCAGCATAGTATAGCGCCATGAATTACACACGTGGTTGAATGACGACTGTTGCCCCGCACATTTATGTGCAGACTTTTTTTGGCATGGAGAGACCTCTGGGGTACATCAATTGTTTTATTTATTTGTACAAGTGCCTGCAGCTCCACGAGGGCATTATAGTTAGTGGGCAACTCAAGAAGCAGTGGACGCATACCAAATATATGATACACAGAGAGAGAGAGATGAAAATATGACTTATGTAGGATATCATACGACCGACCCACTAAAACAAGTGCACATCACATCATGATAAGAAAAACACGTATCACGCATATCACTTCAGAAAACATATTCGAAAAGAGAGTTCGGGGCAGAGTGAACTATAGGCTTACACAACGCGGCTAAAATATGCGGTTGCTGCCCTGACAGAGGCAAGCCTAATGCCGAAACATTTGCTCCAACGACATTCATGTTTCAACGATTTCTCAGACACGTCAAATAGCCATCATAAGGCCACTCGCGGAAAACAGTGATCTAAACGAAATTTCGCGCACCCCTGGACAAACGCGATGTATAATAATAACAGAGTAGTGCTGTGGATGTTTAGGGCTTTCGAACGAACTCTGACTGTGTGTAATTATTAACGTGCGCGCGTAATTCCTGTGCACGAGTGTACTTGTGTTGCATCGCCCTTTTTTTTTCTTTTTTACTGTTCACCACCTGGAAGAGGCCGGCAATCAAGCCGGCAACTTCGTAACTCAGCAGTGGAACTCCACAGCCATTGATTCCATCAATGTGTACGAAAAAACTACGAGGTGGTGCAGAACGCCACTGAATATAAAATTTAAAAAATTACAATACTTATAAACTACGTAGAAGAACGAACACGAAAATTACGACGACGGAGGCGTTCAACAGAAACGCGACGCCTTGAGGGCGCAGCGGCGGTGACCGAACTCGCGGACTTCGACAGCTTTCGTGCCTGCTGACGCCTTCATGTCTGTACCGACTCTCTCTCTCTCTCTCTCTCTCTCTCTCTCTCTCTCTCTCCATCTCTCTCTCCCTCTATCTCTCAATATTTCTCTTTCTTTCTCTCTCTTTTTTTTCTCTCTTTCTTTCTCTTTCTCTCTTTCTGTCTTTCTCTCTCTCTTTTTCTCTATCTCTCTTTCTCTTCTCTCTTTCTCTCTCATTCTCTCTTTCTCTCTCTCTCTGTCTCTTTCTCTCTCTCTCGCTATTCTCATAAATGTACGGCCGATCACTCCTGCGCCACACAGTCAATAACGATGAGTACAAAGAAAGGAAAAAAAAGCAGACCGGGCTTTCGCGTGAAGCACAGAAGACGAGCGTATGCGCAACAGGGGCGGCGGTAAAGGGCCTCTCCTTTTATACGAGCAGCCGTAAATGAGCGCACGAAAGGACGGCCACAACGGGTGCGCGATGGTCGCCCATTCGCACAAATTGCAATGTCGGCCCGAGCGATGCCCGTATAAGACGACTGTATAGTATACGACGAGTGGCGACGCGAGGGCCCAGTCTCGTACGAACACGCGGGGCAGGCCATTTGTTCCGAAGGGAGGAGGAGGAGGAGGGGAGGGAGACGACACGTCGCTCGGTCGCATGTAAATGCGCCCTCGAGCAAGGCTTATATAGCTCGGTCACGGCGGCGCATTGTGCGGGGAGTAGCGGAACGCACACATAAGCCGTAAGACGTTGCTTCGGTCGTCGCGGCTTCATAAAACACGTATGTATTACGCCGTACGAATGACGGCCGCGTCGAAGGACGGGGCCCGAATGTAGCACACATCACACGAGCTTTCATAAGCAGACAAAACACGGAGGAAAAAAAAAAGATGGAAAAATTGCTATTTCAGTCACGAATTTGTCGGGGGTGTTAACTGCTCTAAACACACCATTTAAATAATAATAATAATAATAATAATAATAATAATAATAATAATAATAATAATAATAATAATAATAATAATAATAATAATAATAATAATAATAATTAATAATTGAAGTTTAACGTCCGGAAACCACGCCGTGGTTATGAGAAACAGTGTAGTGGAGGGCTCCGGAAATTTCTATCACCGGGGGTTCTTAACGTGCACCTAAATTTAAGCACACGGGCCTCAGGTATTTTCCGCCTCGACCGAAAACGCGTCCGCCGCTGCCCGAGATTCGTCGTGCGGATCAGCAGTCGAGTGCCGTAACTACGAGACAAACTGCGGCGGGATGTTTTCCTGCATTAAACGTGTAAGCTAAAAACGGGCTTCGGATTTGTCAATAAAAACACCGTTTATTAGCAGATACACGCCTCTACATTTAAATAACTGTCACGTGACGTTGATCGCTATGTCCATGCACTTTTCGACTTAAAGAAGGAAAACCTTACCTGGCGTGTTCGGTGGGAGAGTGATATTCTAACGTGGCACACAGCCTGTTTGTTCCTCATATTTATTTTCTTCCTCCAATAAAAAGAAGGTTTGTCGAATATTTCGAAGTAGGTACATTAGGAAATGAGAGCTCGTGAGTCAGTGTATTCGAGTGCCGACGTGTGCAAGACACACTTCGTCGGGCAATATTAGAAAACAAAATTTAATTTCGGGTCGGCAGTTAGATGTATCAGGGATATTATAGGACTCAGCCGTCACTAATACCTTTAGACGGCAGGGAAAGAAAAGCGAACAAAAAGCCAATAGATTGCAAGGAACTTACCGGATCTCTCGTAGTCCTGATTAAAGTTTGGAGGAGGGTACCCTTGAGTGCCTTCTTCTTCAGTAGAGTACTCTCCTCGGCGCCCTAGGAAATTTTAGAAGTTATATTTATAAACTACTCTTACTATTTGTGCGCCATGTCGTAACATTATAGCTATGCACTTCCGGCTATGCCGAGTGTGATACAGATCTTATTAAGGCTACGATTTTAATGTTTGGCTAAACAGAAAATTTTGAAAGAGTCATAAAACAAGTAATTCGGGAACCTTACGTTTCGTGCAGCGCATATTAATGTTCTAAGACCTGCGACTGTCCTTTCTTGTTTTAACGTGATAGCGTTAAAAAGCTCGTGCAGCAGAAAACCCGCCGCCGGCGTCGGCCCCGCTGGTTTTGAGTGAAAAATCGTTTGTGCGTCTGTGACCAAAAAATCAAGTTACCGAGACAGCCGCGGGAGGCCACTACTTGTCCACGCGTGCGCGCGCAATCACACTGAAAAATCCGCTTATTCAAAGAAAAAAAAAGTGTTAAGGTCACGAGACGTGGTAGTTTCTTTACCCTGCCACCCCTCCCTGCTTACCTTCCAGAGCTTTTCTCGTGACGAGAGAAGTGAAAATGCATTTGCAGCATGCGACAAACCTTTGTAACTCCACTCGCCCTGGACGGATTCTTGAAATTTTTGCGCCGTTGAATTTCTGAGGCAATAAGCTCTTTAGTGAATTCATTCCATGGTTACTTGAAAAAGTGTTTCAGGGCCCTTTAAAACGCATTTTGTTCGACAGGTGTCACGACGAAAACGAGCCCATTCGGCGATAATAGGGCGCGCTGGGCCAATATACTGTGTGCGTGCAAGTGTTTGTAACACACACACACACACACACACACACACACCACACACAACCACACACACACACACACACATATATATATATATATATATATAGATATTATATATATATATATATATAGATATATATATATATATATATATACCCCCGTTAAACAGCAGTATCTTCCGCGACGCACGACATATGCTACCTCTGACTCGTCTCTTGACTTTTGAAGATCAATCTCAATTATAACTCCAAGAATAATTTTCTTAGTTGCAGTCGATGAACTAAAGTCGTCGTTTTGGTGTCATCTTCAACTTGAACCGCGATTTTCTATATAAAAGTACAAAAAGCGTCTAGCAGGTAGTACCAGTAGAGCCAACTTTTTCGCAAAAAGAGTTGCTTTCGTCAAGGTTGCTGCCTTGACGAATACAACTGCTTTCGTTGATACACATGCTCTGGGGACATTCTTTCTTCTACAATTTTTCGCTACTTTAACCCCCCACCCACCCACCCCTATTTTTAACTTGAATTTTTCTCTGGACTTTTTATTTTTATTGTTGACTATGCCTTATATCAAGGTCAAAAAGCTTATATCAAGAGGATGCTATCAAAAAAAAAAAAACACGAGGGTTTTTATGCATTCGCCTAATGTGAATCGAAGTCGAAAGCCGTCTTTTTTTTATTCCTTTTATTCTCAGTCAATTGTACAGATTCTCCCTCCTTCGTAAACTTTCTGCAGCTAGCGTGGTGTAGCGCTACATCCAGGATCGGAGACATTAAAAGGCTTGCGCACCTCCCGTGGCTCAGGGATTGGTCCACTTTGAGCGAACGACAATGTCATGCGACGGTGTCTTAACGTGACGTCACGTGACGCGGCACTACAGTGACGACATTACGATGACACAAATGTTTGAGAAATGTCGAGTCATCACATGACGTCACATATCTCACGTCATGACTTAATGTCATTATATAATGCGTTTGACACATGGGACGCCATGCGTTTGGCATCATGATGTGATCACTTCACATGGTGATGGCATCACACGATTTTTTTCACTGCTCATTTTGACACTGCTGACGGTCTTTTTTTGCGTGTAATGAAGCTTCTAAGGCTTTTTTCTTAATAATTAGACGCAAGAATAACAAGATACACACGATAGAGATATTTTATGCTCACCTTCTTTGAGCAGAGCGTTTGAAGCGTGAGTTCCCAAATGATGTCGAGGTCCATTGGATTGCTGCGTTGCTGAAAAGAGACAAAGATGCGTATAACAGGCTTTTTGTGTTGATTCTTACGAGTTGTACGCAGTTCACAAATGGGAGGCCGTTTAGAAGAAGCATAATTAGATACAATTTCGGCATGTTTTGTCAAATAATTGCGTGAACGGGACGCAAGACTTTGATTTATCTTTTTTTTAAATCATTTTCAAGACCAACACAGCGCTAAGCTTGGAAGATTGTCACTCAGCTAATGCGTTTTTTTTTCAAGACTTTTTTTTCTTTGCCATTACAATGTCACCATTGCCCACCTTTAAAAGCACTTACTTTGTGTCGAATTGCCGATTGATCAAGTTTAGCTGTTGGAGTCGTAAACAACATCACCGGGCACTTGGTGAAGTCGCCTCAACAAGCTTCTACCGTGTTTTGGACGAAGAGTAGATTGATTTGGTCGCTTTTCGGCAAAACTTTGGCTTTTTTTTCTCGTGTTTTCCGATCGTTTGCTTGCGTTTGAATTCGAAAAACGGTGAGAAAAAGAAACGAGACAACGTCTATTCTATCACTAATCCATTCATCCCGATAATTTCTGAGTTTCTTATCCTAAAATGTGCCTGTTCTTAGATATATGTGTCATGCGTGAAAATGCACGTGCTCTCAGGTTTTCCTGCAATATCTTGTATCTTTGTCTTGACGGCTTTGTATTGATTACAGTACTGTTGTTAGCAAAACCATTCATTGTAATCATAGAAAGGAGCCGAACAAAAGGGAAGAATGTTAACTGGAAAATGTTTGCTAGATATTCTGCAGGATGTGGATGCAAGTTTGCTTCACAAGAGTGGTGTGGCCACCGCTAACGTTCAACGTAATGTCCTTTGGACTGTACATGAACAAGTTATAGCATTGATCACGCTTAGCTCAACGGTTCATTGCACTGTCGTCTCTGGCATGGCAGGCTTGCAAAGTGACGTGAGCATTGCTAGTGTTTTCAAAATCGGCTGGCCTCAGTGACAGGTCATGGCCCTGATGAGCAGCCACACACGTCACGTACTGATAACATCTCCTCCTAACCCCTTTTTTGTATTTTTCTTTATTTTTCGTACTACAATCTTTTCCCTAGGGTAAGGCAGCAAACTTGACCTCATCTGGTCAGTCTTCTGCCATTCCTTTGTTGCTGGAGGCAAACCGAATTTCAAGTACCAATTACTTGGCTATCTCAACGCAAAATGTGAATAAAGTTCAAAGGGCCCTGAAACAATTTTTAAAGTATCCATAAAATGAATTCACTAAAAGAGCTTATTGCCTCATGAATTCAACGTCGCAAAAATATTAGGAATCCGTCCAGTGCGAGTGGAGTTACAAAGGTATGTGGCATGTTTCAATTGCATTCTCTCTTCTCTCGTCCCGACGAAAGCGCTGGAAGCTAAGCAGGGAGGGATAGTAGGGCCACAGAAAAACGTCACATGCGCTTCGCAACCTTGAGCACTTCTTAATTTTTTTTTCTTCGAATGCGCGGGCTTTTTCAGTGTGATTGCGCGCGCACGCGGGGACAAGTCGCGGCCTCTCGCGGCGATCTCTGTAACAAGCGAGCGCGCCATGTTCAAGTCAGCCAATGGCTGATAGATGGGTCGTTGGCGTGTTATTTTTGGACATATAACGTGATTTGTCGAGAGAAGAGAAAGCAATTTTTAGCTGACTTTGATAATTTATTTTGAATTCCAGGCCGTGTTCTGTGCTATAATATTTGGCTCGCTTGCATTGTCGGGAGCCTCTACTACCTATCGGCAGCGTTTTCTGACCATGCTCAAAAAGTGTTGCAGGGCCCCTTTAACGTAAACGTTTTGCCGATACATTGATGTACGCGTTACCATGCTGAAAAGCACATGTACGTATTAATTAAATCTTACAGGTTGTCTCCCAGTGTTTCTTGGTTTGAAACTCTTTGGAGGACGCCGCAGTCGAAGACGTCGGTCGAGGTATTTCTGCAAAAATTTCGAGCATTCATCAGTATGAACGAAATTTATTGTACACCACATCAAGAGACCAGTGCAGTGCTTAAGCCAGAAACTGTTACTTATCGACTGCTTCTAATTGTTTTCTTTTTTGTCGACAAGCAATTATGAGTTTTCAGGATTATATGCACAATTCGTAACAATTAACCTCGCATAGAACGATGTGAACGACACTTCACCATTATTTCCTGCTTTTTAACACATCATCTTTGCACAAGTGCTTCTCAAATACGAAACTGTGGTTTAGAACTGTGTGTTTGACAACGCATTAAAGCTTAATTGCCCCGAATGTACGCAGTTTAAAAAAGCGTCATTTGCACTATCAACCTGATTTTGGTATTATGATAAGTTGTCTTGGTCTGGTTACGATCTTGTGTGGGACCACACCGTAAGAATATACACGTGAGCACGACTAAACGTAAATGCCTGCTTATATAAATCAAAACATTTTGCGTAATACTACGCTCGAAAATCAAATTCTCATTGAGTTTTACGGAATAATATCATGTGGCTACTTTGAAGAAAGTTGTTCTACTACCTTCGTGCACTGCAGTTTACGGAGTTAGTTAGCGTAATTACCAGCAGTAGTAGTATGAATTTCAGGCGGCGTTATAATGCAGCATCAGCCACTCACCTTGGAGCTTGATGTTGGCCTCGGTCTCGCCGAGGGGGTTCTTAGAGACGCACTTGTAGGTGCCGAAGTCGTCAGGCTTCAAATCGCGTATGGTGAGGCGCAGCAGGAGCCTGTAGGGCCCGGTCTCAACCACCAGCGAGTCGTACTTGGCGTTCGAGATGAGCATGGTTCCGTCGTCTCGCTCCCAGAAGGTCATGCCGCGAGGGTGCGTCTCCAGGTTGCACTCGAGGGTCACGTCGGCGCCCAGCGGCGCGCCCACCAACTGGTTGGGCTGCCAAATCATGGGCGCGACTGCGCAGGCAGGGCGCCCAGCGTTATAACCGGTAGCTTACAGTTTGTCTCTATAGGGCCTGCGTTATCGAGGCTTTTTGAAATGGTGTAATGAAACTACGCCGCAGTTTAAAGAAAGATAAGAAATTGGAGTTGGGCGAATAACTCTCAGAGAGCGGCACGTCATTTTCGAGAGGGTCGACGCAAGAAAAAACACGGTTCTACACTGAACACTGCACTGAACACTTCTACAGACTACGCAGTTTAAGTAAATCCTAGTAATATTGTAAACGCCCGAAGCACGTTTAGTGGCAAAGTTCAACTGTTTTTTTTTACTCTTTTATGTCGGTAGTGTTTCATATAACTCCCTTTGGTTATTCATGGTCGCTAGCGCATGCCTATTTATCAACGGCTCGTTGAACTTTATGGGTCAGAACTTTTTATCCCGCTATGTGGGAAAGGAGAATCGAGTTCGCTGTTGAATCCTTTGGTTGCCAAATGCAAAGCTGGCATTTTTTTCTAATGACAGTCATGTTATACAAAAGAGTAGCTGAAGGTTAACTCAACGTGCTTTCCTGCATTTGTCCCCTTTGTTTTATTTATACCTTGTGATCTACGATTAGTACTAACTTAACCAAGTTGCTAAACTTGTGAACTAGGACGACATAACTTGAGCATATATGAAACCGTATAGCTGAGTTCACATGTATAAAAGCAAGGGCGTTCATCTAGATCCTGTAAGTCCCAGTGTCATACTCACAGTCAACCTTGAGTAGTATACGCTTGCTCACGGACGGCTGCACGCCGTTCAAGGCGATGCACAGGTACGGCCCCATGTGCAGCCGCGTCACTTTGCTCATGTTCAGGTACTAGCCTTGATAGCTGGGCACTCCTGCAACAGCACCACAACACGTATTCATTATTTATGTCAAGCCTTCGTTGTAACAGCGTAGCTGTTTGATTCCGAGGTTAATCCCTTTGGATGGTAGCGCAGTTTCTATAGCGGGCATGCTGCACAGAAATTGAGTAATCCCCACTACTCCTCTCAAGATCCTCGAAAATGACACAGAAACTTCCGTTAGCAATCGAAAAATTTCAGAATATAAGATCCACCCGACTTTTGGCCTATCCCCCTGAGTGGGTGGATGCCAATGAATCCAGGATCATTGTCATCATCATCGTCTTCATCATGTGCCAAGCAACTCTAGCGGATATGTACCCGCAGGAATTGGGCAAGCACCACTACTCACCTACGGTCCCCTGAACATTACGAGCAAAGTCAAGCAAGGAAATTTGAATGAAAATGTGATGCCACCAGCTTCACTGTTTAACGAGTCTTCGCGACGTTATGTGAGCGAGACTGCTTCAAATATTATTCCTGCAGTCTTTATCTATCTATCTATCTATCTATCTATCTATCTATCTATCTATCTATCTATCTATCTATCTATCTATCTATCTATCTATCTATCTATCTATCTATCTATCTATCTATCTATCTATCTATCTATCTATCTATCTATCTATCTATCTATCTATCTATCTATCTATCTATCTATCTATCTATCTATCTATCTATCTATCTATCTATCTATCTATCTATCTATCTATCTATCTATCTATCTATCTATCTATCTATCTATCTATCTATCTATCTATCTATCTATCTGTATCTATCTATCTATCTATCATCTATCTATCTATCTATCCTATCTATCTATCTATCTATCTATCTCTGACTGCTCTCCAGACCATACCGTTAATGCGATTTATACCATTATTGCCAAGGCATATCATGACAGTATGATGAACATGAGTACATCGCCATATCATCAAAGTCGTGACTAACTTATCATGAACGGTATGATATTTACACGTCGTCCTAGTGGTGCTCCTGTGACCGGCTCCAGAACTTGATGTATCCAAACATTGGTATGATAACACATTGCTGCATGACCAACATAAATGACAGGTGATAATATATGTAAATAATTATTTATATGTCGTGTACAACATGATTTACTTGTCACGCTGATGGTGTGCTGACGATGGTTTCGCTAGCTTGATATACACCAAATCAGGTATTGCGTGACGTGACTGTACGATGAACACGCTGTAATATGGAAATCATGACATGTAATGTGCAACATAACCTGCATGCCACGCTCATGGCACGCTCGCGGCTGTTTTGCTAGCTTGATATACGGCAAATTCGGTATTGCGTACTGTGCGACGAACATAAATGACAAGTGGTAATATGGAAATCGTGACATTTCTTGGGCAACATGACTTGCATGCTACGTTTATGGCACGTTCACGGCTGTGTCATGCAATACAACAAGTTCGGTATTGCATGACGTGGCTGTTTTAAAAACATAAATGACAAGTGGTAATATAAAAATCATGACATGTCGTGCACAGCGAGACTTGCATGACAAGCTCATGACGTGTTCACGACCATTTCGCTAGATTGATAAACACAAGAGTTCTTATTGCACGACAGGACCGTGTGACGAACATAAATGCCAGACGGTAACATGAAAATCGCGACATGCATGTCATGTATACAATGGGACTTACTTGCCACGCACATGCTGCACATGTGTCCTGTTCGCAAGCTTGATATACACTGAAACCGGTATTGCGCGATGTGACCATATGAAGAACACGAATTACAGGTCTTTAAATATGAATCATGAAATGCGCGTTATGTACAGCATGATTTGCTCTTTTGTGGCTTCTTCGCTTTACAACGATTCCACAATGCGTGAGATCTGCGGATTTTTTTTTGTTTATCAACTTAAAGCTTCGCTAAATATGTATACGTGTAGCTCGTTGTAAACGTGTAAGCGTATATTAATTTTGCTCATATCTCAATGCGACCGCCACTACCGAGACTCGTACCAGCGACCTGCCACACAGCAGGAAACGTTACCACTGCTATGCAACTGCGGCGGGCTTCCTTGAGCATTGCTCAGTGATTCTCACACAGAAATGAAAGTCGCTTTCCTTCTTGAGGTAGCAGAAATTGAAGTACGTATAGGTGGCAGTTGGCCAACCGTTTTACTGTGAAAGCTGTTATTAGATCACAACAAGAGTCGCGTTCTCCGCCACCGCCGCCGGTGTGCGTAACCACTATCGCGCGAAATAGGAAAAAAAAATTAAGCAAATAAAAAAATGCCACGCACACAATGGGATTCAAACCAGGGGCCCCTGCGTGCCAGCCGGGTATTCTACCAGAGCCGCGGCGATGCTTGAAACTCCACTGCGAACTGGCCTTAGGCAAGCTTGATGTCGGGAAAGAACTCGCGGTAATATGAGTAACAAAGCATTTTAGAACCGCAAAAGAACAACGAGGCGTCACACAATGCAAATGGTGGTACGACGTCGTCGTCGAATTTGCTTGTTCCTGTTCACCTATTGCCTATTGCCCATGGCACATACCCACTGTGAGAGATTGGCCAAGATGTTGATGTGGATTCTAAACTTGTTGCTCACACCCACCCTGAAGGATCGGCCAAGGATCGGGTAGCTTAACAACAACAAAAAAGGCAAATGTATATATTTAATACTGGCGACAAAAAATTTACAGAAATATTGATTTTGCGTAAATTATTCTTGAGAAAAATGAATTAGTATCTACTGAATGAGCAATAAATAATTGATATCAAAGAAAATTTTCTATAGCCTTCATTGGTTAATTAACTGAGAACCTTTTGGTATTAAGGTAATTAAGTAAATCCTTTCGACTGTACAATGAAATCTTGCACGGCCGCGCACACTTTCCAACCCATTACTAAAGCACACATCCAACCCATTACAAAAGCTTCTGGCATGGTTCTTCGTTGTCGTCAGCCCAAGCGTAAAAAAAAAAAAAATGCACCAAATTCTTTTATTTGTATTACCTGTCGATCTCTACGTCGGAGTCACCCGCTACCCGCTAAGCGCGTTCTGCATGATAAAAATAGAGTATTTTTATTCCATTCATTTGAAGCGTGTAGTGGGCACCACGCGAAGAATGACGAAGGATGGCATGGTGAATGGCTCCCCAGTACACAAAAATTACGATGATTAATGGCGCAGTGGGTACCCTGCAACTGTGCTTGTAGCGGTTACGCAAAGACCGCTCTTCCAGCTTTCGCTGGGACTGTGCTCTGCATTCCGCGCAGGCCTGGTGTTTTTTTTACGACGGATGTTTGTAAATTTGATCCGCCCCCCTCCCCTTGCATTCTCCATTGTTTGCAGTACTGACGGCGTTCTTCCGTTAAACAAATAACAAGTTTATGCTAAGTACCAGTCAAAAGGGTAACCAAACATGCTAATTGGGAAAGGCGATTCCCCACTGTGACTAATGTCATAAAAATATTGTACATTTGGTGTTTATGCTAGCGTATATGAAACAATTCTTATCTAAGATCGCCCTCTGCTGCCAGTGAGCAACGAGCTGACACGATAACGACAGCTGTTCTGACACGGCAAGTGATCGGAGACTACTCACGTTAATATACACCTTCTTTTATCTTCAAAGGCGCATTTTTACAGTTTTCTTCGCCGTTGTTTTGACAAAAGTTGCACATTACATTTACGTTCGATTGGCGCTAGCCATATGCTGAGTAAACTGTCACGAGGAAGTCCCAACCAACCATGCACTTGGGTGCCAGACCTCGCCATTATTGACGTTTCGCTGAGCTCAAAATTTGACGAACTTTGTTTCACGCCTGGCAAATTATGTGTTTAGGGTATAAAAACGTAGTCTTCCCATTTTCGCGCACTCTGATTGGAGTACTGTATCTGAAAGTGAAGTCTAAAAATGGCCTCACCGCTGAAGGGCATTTGTTTGAAACAACGTGCCACGGCTTTGTGATAGCCTTTCGTCGCCTTGTATAGTTCGCTCACACAGTTTACGGACGTGCAGTATTGTCCCAGCCGTCCGGTGCAGCTGTACGCAACGATGTGTAAGGTTCTGCGCCCCGATTTCGAACACCGCCTACGTAGCAGCGGGGCCCAGAATGCAGCGGCATTGTGGCACAGTCAATATAGTCGGGCAATTAGCAGAGCTAAAAATTTCCCTCTTCCCCACTTCTCACGTGACTCGGGGCACAGATTGACTAGCTACCGTTCATCCACGCCATAACAGCTTTTATCAGGGAGTCTTTACCGAATAATATCTTGCACGAGTTGCCAGCAAAAGTGTTTGCAGGAGAGAGAAGGAAAGCAGAAGACGATAAACATGAAAAAGAAACATTTGATTGGCTAATTTACTATCGTATAAGCCGAGGGAGAACACAAAGATGATTAAGTCAGAGGCGCTCGCACAAACGAGCCATTTTCGCGAGAGAGTCAGGGGAGGGGGGGTGAGAGAGGATGAAGTAACAACTACACAAGAGAGCGGAAAGGCAGGCATGTTAACCAGTTTAGAATAACTAATATGCTAGCCATCACTGGGGGAGTTTGAAAGTTCAGGGATTAAAAAAAAGGGAGAAAGAGATGGGTAGTACACATAACGCCACAATTCATGAGTCTTGAACAGTGTACGAAATCACTCTTAGTACACAGCCGCATTTGTGAGCCTATATCTCTTTCTTCAAAATTGTAACAGTGCCTTTGTCGCTCTCATTCTCGATGACTTATGAGGACGGCAGTCCACAACAGTTTCTACGGACATCGGTCTGTGGTCGAGGGGAGTTAGAGGGATTTCAAGGGCTTGTCTCTGCATGACAGCGTTGAAGTTTTTGTCGTTGCCCTCCGGTATGATGTTCGGTGGGGACAGTGTTCCAAATGTTACACACTGAGCGGAAGGTTGCGTAAATGCACAGTACATCGATTTGCTCGCGTGCACACCAGGATACTTTGCTCGTTCACTGGGAAGTAGTGACTAACACGTCTTACGAA